AAGGGAAATCCAGGCAGTTCCCAGCGCTGGGTTAAAGCACAGCTTGAAGAAGCCTCAGTAGCTGATCCAGAGCCCCCAAGCAAGATGGGGCTGGAAGAATCAAGCAGCTTCCACCAGCGTTGCTGGGGACATGGAGATCCCGTGGGGCACACTGAGCGCCTCTTACGTGTCCGAATCCCGATGACAAAGAGCAGATGAGCTCTGGTGAGGAGCCACCCTGCCTCGGGTGCCTCTGGGGTGCTACAGCAGCCCCACAGCCCACCCAGGCACCGGTGTCGCTCCCCTCTCCCTTGCGCCCTGCATCACGAAGCAGCATCTTTGTCACATCTTCACCCCAACAACCAGCGGGTCCCTGCCCACTCGCAGCACCCTTTTATCTGAGCACTTCCCACGCCTTCGGGCACTTCCCTGGCTGAAGCTTTAACCCCTGGAGAGCAATTATTTCAGCATGGAAAGTGAGACAGATTCTAGGGACTAACCGGGCTGGACGGACTGGCTGCGATCAGAGCTGGGATGGTGTTTAATCAGACAACAGAGCTTTCCTGTCTGAGCACACGTTAACGACGGGGGTTACCTGCCACACGGGCCTCGCTTGACACAGCCCTGGCTCAACTCGTTCAGCTCATCAGAGAGGCTGCGCTCAGGGCAGAGCCGCGCAGGCTCCCAGGGTCAGCGGGCACCGTCCTAACAGGGACCATGGAGCTGGTGCTGTGCCAGGGTGGAAGTGGGAGCTGTCAGGGCGCTGAGGCAGGCACACACAGGGCAGCTTATCTCACAGTGGGCGCATTTTCCATCCCTGTATGTTTAAGGTCGAGGAACGGAGAGACTTGCTAAGTGGAAATTAATGAAGAGACATTCTCCTGACCCACTTTCTGTCGTGCAGGAGATCAGTGGTCGCCCATCTACAGAAGTACCCAGTGCACGCTCTTTGGTGTTTTGAGTCACTGGGAGATGCCACTTCTTGGGACACCACCTTGGTTCTCCCAAACTGACAAATCTGAGAGGAAAACACAGCACCCGACCCAGTGGGACTGAGCAGTTCGTGAGGCAACGTCTCAAACAGGCCTTGACAAACACACACCTGAATTCCTGCCAACGAAGTTACTGATCTCCTGGTCCTGGGGCTGTTCTCCAGGGCAGGAGACTCACAGACAGAGTTTCATGAGGCTCCACAAGCCACAAGGGGTTTGGAGACGAGAGTGGTCACAGCCAGTGTACGTGCGACGCGCACCCAGAGCCTCCGAGCAGGAGTAACTCCCTGTAGTAATCCCTGAGCACGGGCACGGTGCGTGCAGTTGGTTTGTTCTCCTACAAAAGGCACAGGTTTCTCTTCAGGGCCTCATGAAAACAAGATTAAATTCACTGTGGAAACTAAAAGTGCTGCTGCTGCTGCTTTTGCCCGGCCTCTGATTCATCCACCCAACAAAACCACAGAGTGCTCAGCGCAGGGTGACGAGAAGAAAGTCTGTGAAGCTCCTAAAGCGTATTTGCAAGAAACCAGGGCAAAGAGGAGCAGCTGATTTCCACCAGTGGCTGCGAGCACGGCTGCAGCACAGCCCGCGCGGGGACCCTGGGGAGCTGCACCGAGAAAAAAGGCCCAAGAAGCAGAAGTAGATCTTCTTTTATTTTCAATTATGAAAAATGAAAGCCCCTGGAACAGTCAACACTGAACCTGCTCTAGATGGGGCTTGGAGCAACCTGCTCTAGTGGAAGGTGTCCCAGCTCGTGGCAGGGGGTTGGAACTGGAGCAGCTTTCAGGTCCCTTCCAGCCCAAACCAGCGGGTGATGCTGTGAAATGCAGTTTTGAAGCCTGAAGGCCGGTGCCCCCCGCTCGCACCGCGGCTCTGCTCGAGGTGACGCCCGATCAGCACCTCTCGTCCCTCCACCCTTCCGCGCTTGCTGGAAACGTGCTCACTCGGGCAGAGAAAAGCACCCGCCAGCAGAAGCTGAGAACCTGCTCGAGAGGTTTCCTGCAGAGCTGAGCTGCAGCAGACGCCAGCAGGGACCTCGGTGCGGCAGGCGGGGAAGTGGGGCTCCAAAACACGGGATGGGTGGATTACGGAGACAGATACGGGATCCTCGGGAATCACCTGCCCACCACAGCGGTTTTCTTGCCACAGATGGAGCAGTTTCACACCATTTCAGGTTTAGAGGACAGCGTTCCAATGCCCACGCTCTCCCAAGCCTCATCTGCAGCCAGGAGCTCAGCAGTTCCCCAAGATCTCTTCCACACACCAGCAACACCTCCAGTCCCCTCCCCACAAGAACCTTCCTGTTAAAGACCCGACTCCACACACGTCTGAACTCAACTTCTTTCACCACAGAAGGAATCAGTTCCCACTCAACCTCCAGACTCAAGCCATGAGACCCAGCTCAAGCTCCTCTTCTTCCTTTCTAAGAGCAGACGCATCCAGAGCACAAAGCACTGAGCAGCACAAAGCTTTCAGCTCTCCTCACAGCCCGAGTTCACGCCAGCTCATGCTTCCCTGCCGCGGAGCAGGAATCCTGCCTGTGCCATCCCGCTTGCTGCAACAGCATGTCGAGAATGCTGCAATTCTCCTACATGAAGCACTTTTCAACTCTGGTTTGGTTGCAGATACCCGCGTTTACCAGGCAAGGAAAGAGCCACCACTTACCTTGCAGAAACTCAAAGGCTGGTGAGCGTGAAGAGCGGGGATTCGATCATGCTCTCCTCCGCGCCACCCAACCTGGAGGATTTGGCTTCTTTTATCCCGAAGTTATTCCTGTTTAGGTGCTCCCGAACAGTTCAAACATCTTGATGTGAGCTCTCCCAGCCCTCTTCAGCTCCTTACAGAGCAGAGGGCTCCAAGCAGATACCATGCAGCACACACCACAGCTTCCTGGGCTGCCGAGGTTCTTGCTGCACCCAATAGGAGCCTGGTTTCTCCCCGCCCTGGCTGCCAGCAGCACCACCAACGGGCTCTGCAAGAGCACCCTCTGCTTCCCACCCGGCTGGTTTGAGTCCCAGCCCTCTATCCCCAGGGAATATAGGGAAAAGAATGGGTCACCACATTACCTTGCAAATGAACAACGCCTCACAAGGAGAGAGGCAGAAAATAAAACCCAACTTTATTCACCAGGGATGTGAACTGCCTTGGGAGGGAGGCAGCAGCCGTTCCAACAGGAGTCTCCTAAGTAAGGCTGTGGAAATCCCAAGGAAGGATCAAAACACGACTCAGCCAAGACACAAGGCTAATAGTTCTTAAAGAGGTGATGATGTTAAATGGTGTCAGAGCACAAAACAAGCCCAAGAAGCTTCCCTGCCCAGCTCAGCTCCCCAGTGCTGCCTCAGCGCACACTCGCGCTAAGCTGGCACATTAATCCTTGTCACCACTCAACACCTGAGTGGGGGAAACAGTCACTTGGGAGAAAAGGGCACTGAGCAACCCTTGTTAAACCCTTGAGTTAAGCCCGAGTTCAGCACAATGAAGATAATACAGCAATTTAGTGACAAACGGACTGATGCCGATGGCTCTGGGCAGTCCACAGCACCTTTCCCATCAGCAGAGTCCACCACAGCAGGATGCACCACAGCAGGATCCAAGAGCTCTTCACGGAGGAGAAAGTCACCAACAGGTTTCCTGCTGATGTTCACCTTGTTCACTTCTGCTGTCGCTGTGTTTCCCAAGGGGTGTCTGCAGCAGTGCTGAATCCCACATGATGTGAACAACTCTGATCCCATCTCCTTCAGCCTCAGGCTTTCTGGTGAGTTTGGCAGCCTGACCCTCGGGGTCGGTGCAGCCCTGCCCAGGCTGACACCTTTACAACAGACAGAGAAGGTGGTACCAAAGCAGCAAAAGTCCTCATTAGAAAAATGACTCATGGAATAAAAGGAAATTGATTCCTTAAATTAAGGAAAAAAATTGTCCTGAAGATACCGGCAGGAAATTGAAACCACATTTCTTTCTTCTAAAAGCAATTCCACTGCACCAGTCCCACCAGAAACAGTCTGATGAAGCCACCATCTCCTCTGGGGCAAGGTCTGGCTGCCACCAATGCACAACATAACCTGGAGGAGATGACATCCTTCCTGTCCAGACCGTCCATGCTGCAGGGAAGGGCACTTCACTTGCTTGACCTGCCTCCAGCCCGGCCTGAAGCTCTGCCAGAGACAGGGCTGCACCACACAGACCCATCTCTGTGCTCAGCCAGGGCCTGGATCTGGGTCCTGAGGGATTTTAAGAAAAGGACCTGTGTCCACTGAGCCACTTGGGACAGAACAACTGGGAGGTTTGAGGATCTGCTACTCTGCTGGCTCTTAACCCCCCGGCTTTGGCACTCCACATGTGGAGCCACGTGGCTTTCCATGCCAGGTCAATGAGGCTACAGCATGTCCTGGGATACTCTTACACCCAGATGAAATCTGAAGCTTGAGGCACGAGTACCCACCTCCAAGCTGCCAGTTTTGTCTGTTCATTACACTGGGGCTACAAGAAGCTGCTCCCCCAAAAACTGCTTTCTCAGATGAATCCCACGGCAACACCCACAAGGCAGAGAGCAGCTGAAGCCATTTGCCTGTGTTGTTTTCAGCCAGCACAAACCTGTTCTGCTTCGGGACCCTGCCTCTGCTCCTGTTTGTCAGTTGGCTGCCAACACAAGCCACAGTTGATGGCAGGATGTGGGGCTTTCAAAGCCCCTCCTCAGGGCTGTGTAGCCAGCAACGTTACCACCCGAGGAGCTACAGGCCCTGGAGTGACAGCAAAGGAAAGCAGTGTGCAAGAGAGCAGAGAATCCTATTTCTTGTGGCCAGCCCTTACACAAGGCTCTGGCTCACTGACTGCTTCCAGGATGTGTGCTCCTCCCCTTCCCAGCAATGCTCAGAGCCAACCTGGGCTTAGGAATTACTGCTTTTCATCCCATTTTCCAGGCTGGGCAGCCTGAGGCCCGGAGGAGGAGGATGGCTCACCCAGGCTCAGAGGCTGTGAGCACTGGGGCTGACCAGAAGGACAATCACTGCAGTCAAACACCTCTCTCAGACACTAGAACTCGGTCATCTTCTTGTGTGTGTCTGCTTTCTTCTGCTCCTGCTGCAGGCTGGCTTCCTGGGCCTGCAGCTGCCCCAGCTGCTTGTGGGCATTAGCCAGCTTCTCCTTCAGCTGAGCTGTAGCAATGCTGTGCCTGGAAGCAAAAAGCATAATGGCAGAGTCATCCTGCATGGTAAGATCAAAGGCGTGTCATCATCCCAGGGGGGTCTGCCCTTTCCTGTGGGATTTGCACCAGTGACCTGCTGAAAGCCAGGAAGAACCTGATGCTCAGCAAAATCTGGGCTAGAAAACATCCTTCTGAGGTGGTCAACAACACTGAAGAGATGGGCATGAGAAAGAAAGGACTCCAGCACCTTTCCTCTCCTCACCACAGCCTGAATTCCAGCCACAGGACCCCAGACACATCTGCCAGTGTCCACGCTGGTCTGAAGCACACGCTAAAGCCTCTCTCCTCCTCTTCCTTCCTCTTAGGCCTCATCCACACACATCACTTACTCCTCCTACACGTCATGTCAAGCCCACCCCTTTTCCCAGCAGCACCAGAGCTCTCTGGCCACCCTGCACTCCCAAAGAGGCTGTTTTCCTACCGCCCAATGTTGCGTTCCAGGGCCTGCTGGATTCCAAGGATATCCCGCTGCGTTTGCTCGATCTTCTCCACTGTCTGGAGCAGCCGGACACTCAGTTCTTTCCTGGTGCTCTTGCTGGCGTGGTAGATCTCTTTGCTGTTCCTCCTGGGGGGTGCCATCCCTCCAGCCTTCTCTCCAGAGCTCTTCCCTCGCAGCTTCTCATTCAGAAAGTCAAACACATTGTGGGAAGGCTTCCGGCTGCTTCCCTTTGCTTGGCACTTCCTGGATTTGCCTGGCTCCAGCTTCCCCTGTTTCCTCCTCTGGAGCACCTCAGCACACTGGTCGAGGGACTTCCCTCGAGGCAGTACCACAGCCTGCACTGGCTCCACTCGGCCCTGGGAGTTCTTCCCTAACCCTGAGGAGAGACACCAAGTGATTAGAGTGAGTGAGGACATCCCCTCTCCGAGCCACCTCCCACCACAAGCTCAGGCTCACAGTCACAAGCTTAGGACAAGTCAACAGGCTCTGGAGGTACAACAAGCTGTAACCTCCATCCAAGTCAAGGGGAGCAGCAAAGGCCACAGCTGGGTGGATGCAGACACTATGAGAGGAGCCTTTGACAGCAGAAGATGGGTGATAAAACATCCGAGTTCAGCAGTCAGGCCAGTTTCTGTCAAACCAGGTTCAGCCCCACATTCTCAGCTTCTCAAGTCTGGTTCTTTTCCAAACTGGTTTGGTTCCTCTGGGAGAACCAGAGACAACTGCAAGCAGCAGACTGCCCTCCCAAAGCCCCTGAGGCTCAACACCATTTGTGCAGTGAGAAGCTGGTTGAGCAGGCTTTGAAGTCTGTGTCTAGAGCCAGGAGATGCTTTAATAGACATCAGAAACTTCACAGATCAGTTCCCTTCCACCTAAAGCCTTTGAACATCTCCCACAACAGTTCTCACGGCTTCAATCATCAACCTGACCATGGTTCCAAATGCCTCCACTTTTTACTATCACCATAGAGGGGCTGGTGCACACACGAGCCTCTACTTCACCAACTGAGTTATCCCTCCTTGCCTCCCAACACAGCTGTGATTCCTCACACAGCTCCAGCCTTATCCGACAGGCTCTTCAGCACAGAGCAGCATTAGCTTCATCCAGAACCTTGGTTTTCTTACCTAGCTTTAGGAACCATGGAGGCAGTCGGGCTCTTGCAGCACCAGGACCCCCATCCTTCTCCCTTACCTTTTCCAAACTCGTATCCCATCTGAACAAGCAGTTTGGAGCCGATACCACGAGTATGAGCTTCCCAGCCACCGAAGGAGGAGCTGCATGAAGGAGACCATTCCCCATTCTCTGGAACTCCTGAATCTATCACTGTGGCACAGGAGAGAAGAACCAGTGAAACACAGAAACAAAGCTGCTATGCAAAACCTTCATCTGGGGCACCAACACAGCAGGAAAACCCCTCAGTACAATGTACTTCTCCCACCCCAGCACCATTTGGATGCTCCTCCAGCCCTATTCAGTTCCTACTGAGCTCTCACTTTTATGAACATTGCACAGCAAGTCACTTAAAATGAGATCTCACTTGATTTAATGCATGTATCACCTCACAGTTCCAGGCAGAATCCGCCAGGAGTCTTTATGCTTCTTCTCCTTCCTTCCAGGATGGTAATAGAGACTGACAGACACCATCAGAGTAAACTCTGGCACAGTGGAATGTGTGTCCTATTCTGTGCCTCCAGCTCATGTCTCTGGTATGAGGCTCCTCTAGGCCACAATGCTAATTTTGTGTTATTAGGATCCAATAATCTCTATTAGGTGACATGTAAAGAGCTCCAGGACACAACTTTGTCCCTGTGACCTGACTGCAGCACTGGCACAGGGACAGTGCTGCCTGTTTAATCTCTGTGTCAGCTTTCAAACAGGGCATGGCTGCTCCTGCAGCCTCATCGAGGCACTGCATGGACCAAACACAGTTACTGGGGTCTCTACTCTTGTGTAGCTACACAGAGCTCCCAGAGGTGAGGAAGTCTCCTCATTCACTTATCAGCTCAACTCAGCCAGCCACAGAAGAAGCAGACCCCGAGCTTGGAACTCTGCTTAAAACCCTCTTCTTTCACATGTTGGAAGTTCCCATGGAAACCTCCAACCTTCATTAACCCCGTAGTTTGCAACTCTAACATGAGAGCTAATTACTGCTCAGCAACATACAAAGAGATTAGCTGCTCTTTCATCAGAGGCGAGACACTTAAAAGGGCAGCTCCAGGAGAGTAATTCCACAGGCCCCAGAGAAAGGCAGACCTAGATCTCAAGCTGTTTTGCTCACACCTTTAGCATAACCAGAATCATCAACACTGTCTTCATCAGACTCAGCAGCCTCTTCACTTCGCAGCGGGGGAATGACACTGTCTCCTTCCACAACAGCTTCCTTGAGCAGCAGAGAATCAAACTTCACCGTGTAGTAACCACTGTCGATGTCTACAGAGGAAAAGCACAGACAAGAGCTCCAGTAAGTCTCCAAACCACGACTGGCAGAGGGCTTGCTAAACCACAGTTAGCTCCAGGGAATGATATGGGAGAGGGAAAGGCCAAAGGAACATGTGTTTTAAAGAAAATCTGGTTTTCCTTTGTGCTTTTGGGTGGGAGGGAGAAGCACCCACTGCAATGCAAAGCAGTTTCCACAATGCCTCTGTTGAGATTTAAAGGTTTATTTCTAAACCTGAAGATGGGCTGTTGGAAGCTGAATCAAAGAGAAGTTAGACCTGCTCCCCTTGGACCTAGTAACAGGCAAAGATGGAAAGAGAGAATTCCCAGGCCAGGGGGAGCCTCTATCAGCAGCTGATGGGCAGGGCCAGTCCCTGGCTTCTGGTTAAACAAGAGAAGATGATTGCAATTCCAACCTAATAAGCATACAAATCCCTGCACCACCCGCTTCCTCCTTTCCTGGGCAGTTAACCAGGACACAGTCATTTCCTTTCCATATTCCTGCTCATTTTGTCTGAGCTCTCCTGTTTCCTGGCCTATTCCCTTCCCAAAGCTGACAAAATTCAGAGTATTTTCTCAGCTACGTCTAGATTTCCAGTGCAGGGCTCCAGCCTTTCTACCATTAACCAAAAGAGCCAAGTTCTACATTCACATAAGCATCAGCCTCCAACTTCCACACAGAATCCTGCAAAGCACACTCAGACTCACCAGTTATCTTTGCTGTGTACCATATCCCATCGCTGTGCTTCGCCAGGCAGGATGAGCCCACCTCCAGGGTGCTCAGGTTGGGCTCCTGGAAGGGCTGAAGCTCCTCCACAGGCACCACCTGCCCATGGGAAAACCTGCCAGGGAAGTGGAAGAGGAGTTATTGACCTCACTGGAGCAGCCTTGAAACAAAACACCCTCCCTCCTTAAAGAGAATGCAAACGAGTTGTCAAGGGTGGTGAAGCTGCACTGGTAAGTATGGAATGCTTTGTGTGGGAAGGGACCTTAAAGCTCCTCCAGCTCCAACCCCCTGCCACGGGCAGGGACACCTTCCACTAGAGCAGGTTGCTCCAAGCCCCTGTGTCCAACCTGGCCTTGAACACTGCCAGGGATGGGGCAGCCACAGCTTCTCTGGGCACCCTGTGCCAGCGCCTCAGCACCCTCACAGGGAAGAGCTTCTGCCTCAGAGCTCGTCTCAATCTCCCCTCTGGCAGGTTAAAGCCATTCCCCTTGTCCTGTCCCTACAGGCCCTTGTCCAAAGCCCCTCTCCAGGTTTCCTGGAGCCCCTTTAGGCACTGGAGCTGCTCTAAGGTCACAGAAGTTACTAATTTTTCACCTTGAACATATTATTTACGTCATGAAATGAAGACTGCCTCCCACCCCGAGCATTAAGCTGTCTTTGCTAGTGACACAGCCAGCAGAAGAGTTCACAGGTCCTTTGGGACAAGCAGGATCTCAGGGACACGCAGGTCTCTGGTCCAACCTCCTGCTCAAAGCATAACCAACTTCAGCCACCCATCAGGTTGCTCAAGGCCTTACCCAGTGAAGTTCTGAACATCTCCACAGCTGGAGACTCTCCAGCCTCTCATGAATGGTTGATCTATCAAAAGCCAAACTTTGCTGCTTTATTTCAGAATACTCAACCAGGTTTTGATTTGGCCACGTCATTGTGTGCAGTTGATTCTCTGCAACTTTCCCATCTACCCTCTGCCTCAGCTGAAGCACAGAGCCAAGCTGATGCCATTGCACCAAAACACACTTTAAAACCACAAAAAGGCCAAATCTTGTTAGGGGAAAAGCCAAACTTGGCATGTCCAGAGCAGGTTTATCCCTTGGAATGACAACAGCAGCAGGACACAAACCCCCTTTCCCCCCCTTTCTCCTTCTTTACCGACAGTTCTCTTTGAATCTGCACTTGTCATCCAGGAAGAAGGGACAGGGCTTCAGGGACTTGTGAGTCGGGTACAGGTAGAGCACTCGCACCCCTGCACTGCCGTCTTCCAACTCCTCTGTTCCCACAATCATGGCATTGTGGTACTCCAGGGTCCCCCAAGAACTGTAGTAGGGGGCTTTAACCTTCATCCCGCTCAACTCCTCCTCTTCCTCTCTGTCAGACTCCTTCTCCTCTTCACTGTGCTTTGACTCATTTTTGTCATCATTTTCCTCCTCCCTCTTTGATGACATCTCGCTGTTATCAGCTGAAGGGTTCTCAGCAGTTCCAAGCTCAGCAATGGCTTCTTTAAAAGCAGCATATTCCTGGTCTTGGGCAGACGTGTCTGGGTTGGTGCCCTGCTCCAGGAGACCTACTGGGGTGGAGGAGGAGGCAGCGTTTGTATCTAGAGTAGCCAGAAGCTTGCTCTTTTTGACAGACACCAGGCTGGATTCAGTCAGTTCTATCAGCTGCTTTAAATCCTCCTGCAACTGAATCAAGTCCGACTGCTGGGACGGGTCCAGGCCTGCCCCCAGCGCCAGCTCCACTTGCTGCAGCTGGGCATTGTAGGTCTGAATTGCTGCTTCCAGACTCTCTTCATCCATTATCGGCAAAACAAAGGTGTGTTTAACTGTGTCCCGCACGGGGACCCAGCACACACCCCAAGTCAC